ACAGCATCTTAGAGTTTACAGCATTCATCAATGCTTTATCCTTTTTAGGCACGTGAAGCATTGGGAGATGTAGGAAGCAAGTTCAGTTGACAGGATCTCTGCTCTTTAGGGAAAGAAGCCTGAAAGCTTATTGAAAACCATGATTTTATTTTATTCCCAATGATAAGTGATTTTATTCCCCTTGCTTATGGACTGATTTTTATACTCAGGGCTACATTTCAACATTCTTTTGAAGACAAGAACATTCTTTGTCAAGGGCATAATTTGTCTCAGTCAATCATAGGAGAAATATGGGACAATTTGAAACTGCTAAAATATTTCCTTGAGATACACATTCATTCCTCAAGTAGAGAATGACCAACAAAGTCAGCAAAATTAGCACATTTGCTTGTGTCAATGTAAGCTTACTTATTTAATGGTTGGTGTGTTCCTCAGGGTATAATCAAGATGTAAGATACTTCCCCGCTCTTGTGTGACAGAGGAGTTTGGATGATCAATTCCTGGAAAGACTGACCTTGACTAAATCATAAGGTGACCCTGACAGGCAGAGAGACAGAATTTCTCACTTATAAGTGTCTGTCTACATAATATCAATATTGTATCATAACAGCAATGGTGTTGTTTTCCCAAAGGCTCCACATGCAGCTTCCTCAAACTGGTAATCTATACTCACCCTCTACTATAACTAGACTGTTTTCAGTTTAATTTTATCCCTAACCCTCCTAGGCAGTAGTAGAGTGGATTCCTATGGTAGACACTACTCATGCCCCCCAAGATTTCTACTTCCCCATTCCTTCTGAGCACATACCCCCTTAAAGTTAGGTAATGACCATGCCCCTTCCTTTGACTGGGTGAAAGCATTTAAGGTTTGGTGCACAGTTTTCCATATTCTCTTCCCTTGCCGTGGTGCTCATGGAGAGGTCACAGGAATGAAGCAGGCTAGATGGTGATTCACCCTGAGAGCTGCCCTGGAGACTTTGCACTGAGTGGGAAATTAATTTTTGTCATATGAAGCAAAGCCACTGAGATTTTGGTGGTGTCTGTCACAGCAGCATAATCTAGGCTACTCTCATGGGTGCAGTCTCCCACCCGATCAGTTCACCTTGATCACCATTTATGCAGCAGCCCACAGCAGCATATGTGGCTGTTATACTAGCGAGTTGTGTTTACACATGAGTTGGCCCCAGTCATTATTGAAGGAGAGTCTCACAGAAATATCTGGTAGCAGCAAGAAGGTAGCTGGAGCAATCATACTGTGTGAGCCACACCCCTGACAGGTCCATGAATTAGCACTGAGGGCTTTCCAATGCAAATGATCATCTTGATTTATTACTGAGGAGGTATCCATTTTATGAGAGGAGAGAGGAGTTTAATTTAGAACACACTGAAACTTCTAGGCTAGTAGGGAAAATCAGTGGAAATGCCTAGCAAGTAATTGGTAATCCAGAAATGGAGCTTGGAAATGGGTCAAGAATGTGGGTATAGATTCAGAAGTAATCTCCACACACTTGAAAGGTGAAAATAAGATAGAAATAAAATTTCCAAGGGAAATAGCAGAAAGTGAGAAAAATAAAAAGCCAAGAAAAGAGTCTTAGGAAACAGTGATATGGGGACGGGCAGAGAGAGGAGAAGCAAAGAAGGGAAACATGGGAACTATGATGACAATACCCATTCATTTTGAAAGCTAAGAATACCATATCTTCATTAATAAATTCATTTCCAGTTAAATTTCAAGGTTTTTAATGAGGATAAAAAATGTACTACTCCGTAATAATCCATTTACTCCCTCGGAGATTAAAATAGATTACCCATCCGACAGGCACCTGGACATTATCTGTAATAAAAAGCAAAATGATTTTTTAATTCAATGTCCCAGAACTAATTTATCAAGATTTAGAGTTTTTCAGAAGAAACAGAAGAACTTTTAAACATGTGTGATTTGCTCTGCATTGTGGTTGTTCATTTATTTAACAAACTTATTCTACACATCTGGTGGTGCTAGGTGCCCTTGGGCATAGAGTACTCAGCCTCGGGCAGGCTGCCTCATCCCCTGAGCCCATTTCACACACTGCTTCCCCTGCTGGTATGTTGGACTTTGTGCCAGCTTTGCTCCCGCAAGGATGCCCCCAAGAGCTAATTAGCTAACGTTTGTTAAACCCTAGGTTTGTGGGCCAGGCACTACACTAGGTGCTTTAAATGGGTTTTCTCACTTAATCTTCAAGATTGAGTTGGAGCATCCCTATTTTACAGCTGTGGAGGCTTAAGTGTTAAGAAACTTGCCTAGGGACTTCTGTGGTGGTCCAGTGGGTAAGATTCCGCACTCCCCATGCAGGGAGCCCAGCTTCCATCCCTGGTCAGGGATCCCACATGCATGCCGCAACTAAGAGTTCAAATGTCGCAACTGAAGATCCCGCATGCTGCAACTAAGACCTGACACAGCCAAATAAATAAATAAATATTTTTAAAGGAAGGGAGGGAGGGAGGGAGGGAGGAAGGAAGGAAGGAAGAAAAGAAACTTGCCTAAAGTCACAAAGCTATTAAGTGGTGCAGTCAGACTCAAAATACGCTGGCCAACGCCAAAAGGGTGCTCTGAACCTTGCTACTCAAAGTGTGGTCCTCAAACCAGCAACACTGATGTTACCTAAGAGTTTGCAAAAATACAGACTCTCAGGTCCAACCTCAGACCCACTCAAACAGAATTTGGTTTTAACAAGGCCCCCAGATGATCCCTCTGCACATTAAAGTTTGGGAAGCACAGAGCAAAGTCACTCCACTCTGCAGACTTCACTTTAATGGATGCTGGGGAGATGGGGACAAGCTTTCTCCTGAGTTGCAATTTGGGGGAGAACAAAGGTATATGTGTGTTCTCCAAGGGCAAAAGGAAGGATTCAGACAACAGGTTCTTGCAGTTTCAAACACTGGAGATCAGCAACAGTCAGGACCACTTCCAAAGGCAGCAGATACGGAGCTGGATCCTGAAGCCAGAACATTTTCTCAATTCATTTCATTAAAACTCCGTGTGCTCTTCCAGGTGGACAAGTGCCCACATCGATAATCTGGAGTTAGCGCCTCCAGCCTGATTCCATTTCCCAAACAGAATCCAGATCTCAACCAGCACCAACAAGCAGATTTCAAACCTCAGTAGAACTTGCTATTACTTATTACATTGTTTATCATGTTGTTCAGCTTAGAATTGCCTAGTTTAATTAATAATGTTCAGGACAAAACTAGTTTGCTCTGCAGTATCCATTGTTCCCCAGGTATGAGTACAAACACTTGGTGTAAAAAGCAGATGCAAGCCGGTTGGTGTGCAGGCCCCCAGTTACAGGTACTTAATTCAGGGTGTGGGGTCGCCTCTTAAGTCCCCTTTCTGAGCCGCGCCGGCCTCCTCCCTCTCGGCTGGGGCCCAACAGTTCGGCTCCTTTCACCGGCTACCACTTTATTCCTTGTCACCAACTCACCCTGGCTTCCTAGGGCCCTAACCAGCGTTAGGGACTGACCCGCCGGCGGGTCGCCTCCGACCTGCCCAGGCCTGTCGGCGGCGGCGGTCCCCACCTGCACCCCGCACCCCCCGGGAAGGGGTGGCCCTGGCCGGGCTGTCACGGGTGGCCCCGCCGGGCGGCGGCGGTGGCAGACGGCGAGTCACGTGTGGCGGAGGGGGCGGAGCGCGACCGGTCGGGTGGGTGGAGAAAACAAAGCCCCCAGCTGTCAGTAGAGGAAGGAGGCGACGGCGCCGGAGCAGGTGAGTCAAGTGCATTTAAAGCGGTACCGCCCTGGCGCACCCGGACACCCCCAGGCCTGGCGCAGTCCCTCCCAGGTCAGACGCTGGCCGCGCCTCCTTCCGCCGCCTGGGGGCTCAGTCCGCCAGTCGCTCAGCCAGCGGGACCGGGGGTCTCCAAGCCCAGCAAGAAGTTGTGCAGGGGTTGGCGCCGGGGCCCCTGGGTGTGCATCCGCTGCGCTCCTGCGGGCCACATCCCTCCTTCTGGGCCCCAGTGCTGCGCACCCCGGGAAAGGGGAGGGAATCAGGGCTGCCACGCTGGCAGAGGCAAAGTGGACCGGCTCGGGGGTTGAGAGCCGGGCTGGCCAGGACTCTTGGCGCTGGAGAAGGAGGGGGTCTTGCGAGTGCGCGCCCGTAGCGCGCGGACCTCAAGGCGACGGAGTTGGGGCGCGGGGACTGAGAACTAGGGGCGCTGGCAGGGGCTGTGCGCTTCGCGGCAGACCAGGAAGTGCAGCGCACGGGCGACAGCCGGCTGGGGATCAAACCTTGGACCGCCCCCCCCCCCCCCCCCCGCCCCCCCCCCCCCCCCTTCCCCCGCGAAAAGCAGCCCCACCTCTCCATTCCGACTCCGGTTCCCGCCTGTGCTCCCGGCGCCCGGGACGCGGGAGCCGGATGGGTGGGAAAGAGAGCGGGTTATTATTCTGATCGCAAGTGGTTTTCTGCAAGGAGCACCCTGCGCTCAGGGCGGGAGCAACTCAGCGACTTCCCATTCTGTTTAAGTAAGAAATTCTTCAGTCCACCCTTCAAAGGACTGGGCAGTGACCACAAATCCCACAAAGGGCGGGCAGGAGGGGTGGGCACAGAAAGACCCTCCCTTCTGAACCCGGAGCGCTCGGTCACGCAGACTTTGAGACCCCGAAAGGGCCAGTGGACTAGGTCACCCCTTGAGTCACTCTGCCAGTCCCGTGCCAAGGGCCGCCCAGTGCAGAGGGCAGAGCTGTAACCTCGGAGGCAGGGGCGCTGCAGCTCAGGAGGAGCCTTTGTCTTAACCCCCAGACCCCTTCTGCTAGTCCTCGCTGGGTCAGTAGCGCGTAGACTAATTAATATTCCAAACATTAGCCGTCCCTTCGCCCGGGCACCAGCCAACACTGCTGTACCCTCCCTGCGGGTTTCTCCATCTCTTGCGCACATCCTCTTCTTTTCCAAAAACATGGAATGTGGTCCAGACCCGCTAGGCAAGAGGAGGTTACTAAACGCACTGTAGTGCAGTCACGTAAAATCAAGGGTTAAGTGTTCAAACCTGCACCCGCCCGCCCGCGAGGAGACGGAAGAACTTTCTTGATTAGCATAGTATCTGCCCTGGGGGCCGCACTGCGACGCGGCGGGTCGGTCCCAGCGAGGTGAAGAGTGCAGTCCCCTCTCGATTGAGGTTTGACGCAGCACCTGCTTCCAATCTGAAGGACCCGAGCCTTCCAACTTTGCCGAACAATACACTGTGGAATGAAACAGAACAGAGATCAGAAGGTAACCGAAAGAATAGCAACGTTTGAGATGCTTCGCTTAAGCACTAAATTTAGCTTAGTTTTTAGCAAGGGTGGGGGGCAGGGGCAGGGGTCCTTGCCAACCTTCCATTCTGGAAATGCCCCTTGCTTTGCTAGCGTTCTTTGCTGCCAAATTAATTAAGATACCGGTTAGGGGCTGTCAATAGATCTCCAAGATATGGGGGTTGGGAGCCCACCGAGTGGTCGTTAGGTAAGCTCAACTGGCAAGTTTCACTTGCGTGGGAAGAACAATGCTTCTTCAACGCAAAGGTTCCCAAATTTTGCTGCCTGGGGAACTTTGAAAAATCCTGATGTCCATATCTCATCCCAAACCATAATTAGACTGTTTTGAGATGACAGTGAGGTTTGGGGTTGTTGTTGTGGTGTGTTGTGGTGTGTGTTTGTGTGTGTGTGTTCATCTCCAGGTGATTCCATTGTGCAGCCAAATTTGAGAACCAGTGAGGCAAGGGCAGAGTTCAGTGGCCGGCAGCTGCAAGCTGCAAGACAAGATGCCAGTTTAACTACCTGGGTGGGTGGGGAAAACCACACTGAAACTGGAGTGCTGCTGACCAATGCCTGGGGTCGCGGGGACTGTCATCTGGCAGCTTGGCTGGCGGTGGTACCTGCCACATCATTTTTCACCCTCTCAGCCTAGGGTCTGGTTCTTAGTGGAAAGATCGAAGTTCACTGTCAGTGCCTGGTTTCTGCACGGTTGTTAAGGATACGGGAGAAACTTCATTCCAGAGGTGATTCACGTGTAGCAGGCAGTGGGGAAACCCAGCAGAAACTAACTTGGAGCAGCCTGGTGAGTCAGAAGCCTGCACTCAAAGGCGGATCCTGAGAATAGGAAGTAATTACATGGAGTAGCTTATTGACACCCACTACTCCACTCCTTTGAAAGCACTTTTGAATATGTGATCAGGATCTGTTTGCTTGTTTGAGCCGCTCCCTTTTCCAGCCCTGTAAAACACAAAGCCAACTAGATAGACGTCTTGTAATTTCCTTGGTGAGAGGCATGTAGAAAAAAAAAAAATGTTGGAAAGTAGTTCGGGTTATTTCAATTATGCGAAACAGAGAGGATGAATTTGCAAAACAAATTTTGAATACAAAAAAGTCAAATAACTGATTACACATTCAGAGGTAAATTAAAGGATCTATTTAAATAGAAATGGTTACATCTAACATTTTACAAGGAATCTTATGTTATTAACCAAAGGTTTCTTGCTTAAAAAAAAAATCATCCTCAGGCATGATCCTAATAAGATAGCCTATTTATAGATGTACACAGTTTATGAAATACTTATTTTTATTACTATTAACTTCAGTTATCTCTCTTTTCCTCATTATTCTTTATATCATCATAACTCTCTTGCCTAAACGCTTTCTTCTGCATTCTCAGTTTCTTTAAGGGGGAACAACCATGCCTATCACATAGCAAGCATTCAATATCATCAGCTGTTGAACTGTATTTGAACCCCTCATAACACCTATGTACGCTGCTTGGTAGTCTGTTATCTAGAAGGGGTCTTTAATGTCTACAGCCCCTATAGCACAGAGCACAGGCCTTTTGTGTTTGTACTGAACATTATCAGAAGGTGGGGAGAATATTTATAAGCAAAGCATCCTGAGTACATTCATTTTTATTTTTTTCCAAGACAGACATTCTGGATATGTAGGAGCCAAAGTTCTGTTACCGTTCTTAAGAGCCATAAAATGGTAGCTCATTTGTTTGCTTACATTTTTACATAAAACAATTTAGCATCCTGAGAATAACTAATAATTGTTATAATAATTAACTACAGTCTCATGGATCCAAGATTCACTTCATGAAATTTCACTCTCTACCCATTATTATGGAAAAAACACGTATTTTTTCCAAAAGGAACTAATTAAGCTAGGAGAGTTATTTCAGAGTAGGATAAATGGCAGGTTAATAGTTAGACAGCTTTTATTGTCTTCTACCTACATTAAAAATAGCACAAATATATTTAAATATCCAACATATTTAAAAATGGAAATTTGGATGTATTCCTTGCTGGATACCAGCAAAAATAAATGTTAATAAGAATTTCCAAAAGCCAAAATGATGTAAATGGACCCGTTCTCATTTCTGTGTAGCTGAGAAAATTCTCTGGGAATGCACTTCTGAAATTTCAACTCCTTTTAGGGAAGGTGTAAGATACTGAAAGGCTGAAACATAGTCTAGAAAAATGGGACTGATTCAGATAAATCAGAAACTGTTCATGAGAGGATAGTACAAACCTAGCTCTGTGATATTTACAAGTAGCCCAAGAGGGCGAGGTACGAAGAAAGGGTATAGCCTCAACTTTAGAAGCTCTGAAGTTTTTGAGAACAGATGAGAACCACCCAGTCTTATTACCTTAAATTTATACAGCCCATTGATCTTATTAACCTATCAGGGCCTAAACACAGTTGGGTAGATAGTATTCCCATGTGCCAAATAGCACAGGTCCGGAAATTAAATGATCTTCAAAGTGGGGAGAAATCTGGAGCCCTCACTCCTTTTCCAGGGTCTGGTCTATCATCCTGCTATTTCTTGACTAGCTTTGATGTAATCTTGTCTGGAGGTTTTGGGTAGGCAAGTTCAGTTCTAATTATATCATCCCTTCTTAAAGTAGGAGAAACTCTTCACCTATATCATGCTCTCATTTATTCTCAAATTATCAACCTTTGAACTAGACCAACCCCAAACAATTGGAACCACATCGTTGGCTTCTTATCCAGATAAGCAAAGTAAGAATTTCTAACTTGTATGAGGGTTCTTAAATGTTAGTCGTATCATCCAGCAAAAGCGTAAATGCCCGGTACAGCATCTTTACTAAATAGTCCTTCAACGGATGCTTCACTGTCTTCCGGGCAGCACATTCCATTCACAGGAGGCTCTCAGCAGCATTCACTGACTGGAGACCACAAAGAACACACCCAACTCTTTTACATGTTCACTTGCAACCATCCTAAGTGTTTAAAGTGAATTGATTCTCCTTAATCAGGACAATCTGGCTAAAGTATTTCAAATCTGTTAACTGCACAAGATTTTTGCTCCAAATCTATAACCACACATTTTAAGAGAAGTATTCAAAATTGTGGTTTGTTACACCAGAGCCTCATAGAATAGAATTATCGGTAAATTTGCTTCCAACAAACCTAATAATCTACGCACTTCAGAAATGACTACTGACAAACTTCATGCAATGGCATTAAGCTTATGTTGAGTTGAAACCCATGAGTCCATCAACAGATCAGCAAACTTGATCAGGGATCAGCCCCTATGACCCAATGTCTCTTTTTGTATAGCCTATGAATTAGGATTGGTTTTTGTATTTTTTAATGGTTGAAAATAGAGCAAAAGAAGAAAAACATTTGTGGACCCTTGAAAATCATGTGAAATTCAAATTTAAGTGTCCAAAATAGTTTTGTTGGACTACAGTCATACTTACTCACATATATGTTGCCCGTGGCTGCTTTTGTCCTGCTGCAGTGAAATAGAATAGTTGCACCGAAGACCGTATGGGCCACAACACCGGAAATATTTACTGAATATTTACAGTCAAGGTTTGCAGACCCTGGGTTTATTCCAACTCAATATACTTCTGTTTTAAATGAGAATTTGCTCACTGAAAACCTTGGTATTTTTTCAGTTTTTTCCCCTTTAGAGAAGGGGAAAAATTTTGTTTCCAAACATAGGTCAACTAATCTCCAAAGATAGTTTAGATTCACATTCCCCTTTTCTGTGTATTTATTCCCCTGTTGAGTATATTTGCAAAAGCAGTACATTTCTAAATAATATGTGAATTTTAGTGATGTGGTCAGCTGTAAAACTTCTGAACCTAAACAGCCCAAACAGTGCAATACTAACTTACATTGAGCTACATCACTGTTTCCAGAACTCTAGAAAATAGGAAAACATACCCTTGACAACAAGCCCATGGTCACACTTGCCTCAATTCTTTAGCCGTAGAAACTTCCTTTTCTTCCACCCTAGGAGGGCGTTTATATTCTTATTTGGTTTAGTATATTAATGCATAATTTGAGGATCTATTCAGATTTAGATGTTTTTCATTGACTGTCACTTCATACACTTAAAACATGATGTGGAAACTTGCTGCTATGGGAAATAGCACCACTCTTCTAAAGTATACATTTAAGGTAAATTGCTTGCTACTTACAAAGGCAATGATCATTAGGTAATAAGCAGATATACATATAGTCACTTATATCACTAAAGGCTGACAGTATGCCATGGACAATTTAGTTTGAAATTTCTAAATTCAAAAACAGATCAATTATGATCCAGAAATTCAAATTATATGCCTTCTGCTCAAGGCTGGACAGATTACTCTTAAGATTCTAGAAGGAATATTGGAAAGGACAACTACATTGATAGGAACCTGTCTTAATTTTTTACTCTAAGTGTTGCCTCTCATAAAATTTCCTTCATTTAAGAGAACTTCCTCTTTTTGATGACTTGTTAATGTCACAGGCTATTTGCAAGTGAGTTTCACTTAGATTAATAGAGCAATTTTAAGGGTTATATATAATTTGTGTCCTCTTCATCCCTTCCAGAATCAGTACACCTGCAATTTAGAGACCGAAAAAATCAAACATTGCATTATAAGTAATGTAAATTTTGAGGTGCCTGAGGTCAGGTAAATCATTTCTGAAAACTAAAACAGATTGTAAGTGTATTTAATCCCATCCTAGGGCTATTGGTAGTAATGGCTTGTAAGCAACTAACTTCCAATGTAACTTAACCCACTAGTGTTCCTGACAGGAGTAATTGTGGAAGGGGAGGAGGGAGACAACAGAAGACAGATTGTCTAACTCCTGTGCTGACTGGGTAAGGAACTAGTCCAAGTGAAATTAACTTTCCACCCTTATCATCATTTAGATTTCACTAAATTTTTTTATGAAATACATTTTGTTTGATATAGTGTCTGCCGTACATATATCACTCATAGTTCT